ACTGGGGGTGGGGGCAGCTTTATAGGATAAATAAAGAAGAATTCACTCTATGAAAGTGTAAATTATTTGACAGTTTTCACCCAAAGCTATACAAGGCAGTCACCAATTTCGAATTAACAGACTAGAAGAAAGGCAAACAGCAAACATCACCCACCGCCATATCTTGGATACTCTTATAGAGAATTGTAGAATTTCACTGTCACATGTATAGCGGCTCCAAAAGTATGGAGTGTGTTTTGGTGGCAACGAGTCGCAAACCATGAATTCATAGTTCGGGAACGCGATAGATATTTTGTATAGCTATAATATTATATTATTAAAAAATTATTTTATTTTTTACTTTTTATTTGTATAAATATATATATATAATTTATTTATCAAACAAACACTATGTTATCTCCTTACTTCGTAACTGAATTATATTATTTTTTTTATTAAAAGCTGAAACTTATTTTAGAAGATTCCAACAGTTGCGGTGATATCATCCTAACTGGCTTATAACGCTCATTATCAATGTTAAAGTCTTTTTTATTTGATTCTTTATTTTAATAATATATAATAAATAACTATGTGACATGCAAAGTAAATTTACAGATTTGTGTTTAATATTAATAAATCTGAAGATCATTTTCCCCTCTTAAGCTTTGGGTGCGTTATAATGATGCCAGTCATTCCCTTAACGTGGATGGTAGTTTGATAAATTCTTTGACTCTTCTTTATTTCCTGTGGCGAACTTTGCCCAAGATTTTATGTTGATTCCAGTTTACGGTATGTCTTGTTTTGTAGTTTTACGTTCAGCCAAGTCCGAATTATATACATACGTCAGTTTATTTGCGTTTTTATGTTATTTTAATCTTTCTTCTACGGTCCTAACAGTTTAATCTATGTTCTACGGTCCTAATAGTTTAATCTTTGTTCTGTGGTCCTTCAGTTTGATCTTTGTTCTATGGCCCTAACAGTTTAATCTTTGTTCTGTGGTCCTACACTTTAATTTTTATTTTATTTTCATACAGTTTAATCTTTTTTTCTATGGTCCTACAGTTTAATCTTTGTTCTATGGTCCTACAGTTTAATCTTTGTTTTATGGTCCTACAGTTTAATTTTTATTTTCCTACAGTTTAATCTTTATTCTATGGTCCTACAGTTTAATCTATGTTCTATGGTCCTACAGTTTAAACTTTGTTTTATGGTCCTACAGTTTAATCTTTGTTTTATGGTCCTAACAGTTTAATCTTTGTTTTATGGTCCTACAGTTTAATTTTTATTTTACTTTCCTACAGTTTAATCTTTGTTCTATGGTCCTACAGTTTAATCTTTGTTTTATGGTCCTACAGTTTAATCTTTGTTTTATGGTCCTACAGTTTAATCTTTGTTTTATGGTCCTAACAGTTTAATCTTTGTTTTATGGTTCTACAGTTTAATTTTTATTTTATTTTCTTACAGTTTACTCTATGTTCTATGGTCCTACAGTTTAATCTTTGTACTATGGTCCTACAGTTTAATTATTGTTACATGGTCCTACACTTTAATCTTTGTTTTATGGTCCTACAGTTTAATCTATGTTCTATGGTTCTAATAGTTTAATCTTTGTTCTATAGTTCTATCAGTTTAATCTTTGTTCTATGGTCCTACAGTTTACTCTATGTTCTATGGTCCTACATTTTAACCTTTGTTCTATGGTCCTACAGTTTAATCTTTGTTCTGTGGTCCTACAGTTTAATTTTCTTTTATTTCCTACAGTTTAATCTTTGTTCTATGGTCCTACAGTTTAATCTTTTCTATGGTCCTACAGTTTAATCTTTTTTCTATGGTCCTACAGTTTAATCTTTGTTCTATGGTCCTACAGTTTAATCTTTGTTCTATGGTCCTACAGTTTCATCTTTGTTCTATGGTCCTACAGTTTAATCTTTGTTCTATGGTCCTGCAGTTTAATCTTTGTTCTATGGTCCTGCAATTTAATATTTGTACTATGGTCCTACAGTTAAATCTTTGTTATATGGTCCTACAGTTTAATCTTTGTTTTATGGTCCTTCAGTTTAATCTTTGTTCTATAGTCCTACAGTTTAATCTTTGTTTTATGATCCTACAGTTTAATCTTTGTTCTATGGTCCTACAGTTTAATCTTTGTTCTATGGTCCTACAGTTTAATCTTTGTTCTATGGTCCTACAGTTTCTCCAATGTAATGTTGCCGCACCAACGAGTACTTCGTAGTTCTTTTTTTTTTTAAAGACTTTTTAGTTAGTTGTTTCACTTTAGTGAGAATTTTTCGTAGACACTTTTCTGCTTTAACATGAACTTTAACTTTAAACTTCCAACAAACCCTTTTACGCTGGAAATGTAAAGAAGAACAAGATTCCACAACACTCACAACAAGACCAAGTCCAACACGAATCGATCATTTCCGGCGATAAATATAGAACTGTTAGTTTTTTCAACATAATATTTGTCACAAATCTTTCTGGCTACATCAAACAAGTAAGATATAATTTGGTGTTGAACCGTTTTTAGATGATTGGACCTGTATTTGTTAGTTATAAACATATTTAGCCTGATATTTCATCACCGACATTCATACTCCTCAAACTTTACTTGTAAGGACTTCGTTATTAAAAAGATAGAAGTGAGAGAATTGAGTCCAGTATCAGAAATGTATGGAAACATCGTTCCTTTAATTATCAACAAGCTAGAAATGTAGAGTATGAAAGGTCAGTTCCACAGTGTCACTTGAGAGAAAGTGTTTCTACCAAAGGTCAGTTTCACAGTGTCACTTGAGAGAAAGTGTTTCTACCAAAGGTCAGTTTCACAGTGTCACTTGAGAGAAAGTGTTTCTACCAAAGGTCAGTTCCACAGTGTCGCTCGAGATTAGGTGTTTCTACCAAAGGTCAGTTTCACAGTATCGCTCGAGATTAGGTGTTTCTACCAAAGGTCAGTTTCACAGTGTCACTTGAGAGAAAGTGTTTCTACCAAAGGTCAGTTTCACAGTGTCACTCGAGATTAGGTGTTTCTACCAAAGGTCAGTTTCACAGTGTCACTTGAGAGAAAGTGTTTCTACCAAAGGTCAGTTTCACAGTGTCACTCGAGATTAGGTGTTTCTACCAAAGGTCAGTTTCACAGTGTCGCTCGAAAGTAGGTGTTTCTACCAAAGGTCAGTTTCAGTGTCACTCGCAAAAAGATAGCTATATCATAGGTCAGTTTCACAGTGTAGCGCGAAAGAAAGCGGCTCTACCGATGGTCAGTTTCAAATTATCAGTCAAAAAGTAGCTATAACAAATTTCACAAAGACATTCGGGGAAACGTTTTATCTTCTTCGCGGAATCGAAGTCGTTTTGTTCCACTATTTAACTTCAGAGTTCTTCTATGTCCATCAAGTAACTCTAATCGTTCACGTTAAGATCAATATATATTTTAATATACTGGTGTTGTCCTTTGACATTTCGAGTTTTTCTAGCTAGATTTTGTGAGTTTTTTAATCACATCTCGTTTTGATCTCCGAGGTTACATTATTGACTTTGTTGTCTTTATTAAAAATATCGGATATTGACTCATTTTGCTGGTGTACTTTGATATATTTTTATTTAAATTCCAATATTATATCATATTAATTTGCAGTGAAAAGCCATCAAAACGTTTTCTTACTTATTATTTGACAGCATTCACTCCTTTTAGTGTTTATACCTGAACGTCTCGTGACAACAAGAAACATGTAGAGAAATTGATTTATTAACCACCAACACGTGTTAGTACCACAATCCCTAGCAAGAAACATGTATAGAAACTGATTTATTAACCACCAACACGTGTTAGTACCACAATCCCTAGCAAGAAACATGTAGAGAAATTGATTTATTAACCACCAATGTGTTAGTACCACAATCCCTAGCAAGAAACATGTAGAGAAATTGATTTATTAACCACCAACACGTGTTAGTACCACAATTTCTAACAAGAAACATGTAGAAAAATTGATTTATTAACCACCAATGTGTTAGTATCACAATTTCTAACAAGAAACATGTAGAAAATTGATTTATTAACCACCAATGTGTTAGTACCACTATTCCTAAAACTAAAGCGTTTAATGAAAGTCTATTTAAAATTGGTCTCAAATCTATTGACCTATGACCTGACAATGTAAATCTCATGATATAAAACTTGCCTACTGTCATGTACTATGAATAACTTAGCGTATAAACAAGTTTATGGGTCTGTAGATTTAAAAAAGCTAGCGTTTAAACCAGTTTCTGTATTATTAAATTTGAATAATTTAGCGTATAAATCAGTTTATGGATTTGTAAATTTGAAAAACTTAGCGTATGAACCAGTTTATGGGTCTGTAGATTTAAAAAAGCTAGCGTTTAAACCAGTTTCTGTATTATTAAATTTGAATAATTTAGCGTATAAACCAGTTTACGGATCTGTAAATTTAAAAAACTTATAACTTATAAATCAATTATTAGATCAGAAAATTTGCTTCACTTATTTTATAACGTGAAAGTTAATCTTAATTATAGTAAAATTGAACCAAAACTTGAACACTGCTTATTTACTATTAACATTAGAGTTTATCGTATGTTTGGTGTTATATATGTTTACTAATAACATTAGAGCTTATCGTGTGTTTGGTGTTATATATATTTACTATTAACATTAGAGTTTATCGTGTGTTTGGTGTTATAGATGTTTACTATTAACATTAGAGCTTATCGTGTGTTTGGTGTTATATATATTTACTATTAACATTAAAGCTTATCGTATGTTTGGTGTTATATATATTTACTATTAACATTAGAGCTTATCGTGTGTTTGGTGTTATATATATTTACTATTAACATTAGAGCTTATCGTGTGTTTGGTGTTATATATATTTACTATTAACATTAGAGTTTATCGTGTGTTTGGTGTTATATATATTTACTATTAACATTAGAGCTTATCGTGTGTTTGGTGTTATATACTGTGATAGTTGTTCTTATTTTAGATTATTTTTTTCGTTTTGTAGCACTGTTATCAGGAACGCTTCGCAATTTTCAAGTTCACGCTTGTGATGGCACAGAGCTTGTGATCAAATGCTGGCCAAACACTGTCATCGCCATCAGTTTTGCTCTTTACGGAAGGACAGTTCCATCCCACGAGCTTTGCCCTCGAGAACAGGAAATATCCAAAGACATCTACTTGGAGACGAACGGAACGAATTGCCTAGCACCTCAGGCTTTGCGGGTAAGGATCTTTAGGGGGGGTTTCACTAAAACTTTATGCGTCCTTATCTAACGTTCCTAACGATAAATAAAGATGATAGCGCTGTTATTCTAGCGCAAATACACACAATCAACTATTTGTACTCTGTCCACTACAGGTAATTGAATCTCCAATTCCAGCATTGTAAGTTCGAAAACTTACCTCTGGTCTACCGGGGTAGGGGGGGGGGCAAATTTTAGTGACTAATCATCCTGATCTCTTTATTTTTCGAATTTTATAACCACATATATATATATATATATATATTACCAAATAATAGCACAACACGATGAAGCGATACCATTAACCCTGATGTGATGTTCTCCACCAATCAGGAGGGTCTACACGGTTCCAATAGGCAGTCGTTTTCCCGGTTCATCATACTGTTAAAACTTTCTGTTCAGCTTTAACGAAGGAGGAAACACACTTCAGAATGTTAGTTCTAGAATATACCAGATAGTATTTTGAATGGAAATATAATGACTTTAGAAATTCTTTTTTAATATGAAGATAGTTACATGTTAGAAACATTTTCTATTCCTGATGAACTGGAGTTTAGTATTGGCTTAAAAGTTTCTTGATCGCCAGAGTCACTTTAATTCAGACATTTTGTTCCTTGTTGAAACTATCTATTATGGCAGAATTCTTTTTACTTCAGAAATTCCGTCACATTCCTGATCTACACGTTTACAGAACAGGGTTTCAGATGATCTTTCAGAGCTGCTCTGAAGTATAAACGACGCGCTGTTGATCCCGCATAATCTCGTCCACATCGAGAACAAACATATCACGTATCAATAAACAACGTAGAAGCGTTAAAGTTTGTTTGTTTCTTTCTTTATCTTGAAAAAGTGGTCGGTTCTCAATACCAATTTTACGACTATATACAGGGTGTCCCAAAAGTCTGGGCCCATAAGGGGAAAAATATACAGTTTGTTTTTAATTTATCTATTATTCAGATTGCATGCCATTAACAGACATACATATATCAATTCTTGATATACTGTATTATCACAGTATTTTCTTTCCTGAAATATGTACAGCTGACACTAGAAACGTGTTTATTCAACTTTAAGAATACAATGTATATTTTCCCTATGGGTCTTGACTTCTGGATCACCCTGTACATGGAAATTTGAGGATAGTTTGATTTCAAGATTTTTTTTTTTATCTCAGCACATAACACACTTTACTCATAAATGTAAGACTGTCATAAAATGAAAGTTTGGGTAAATCGTAACTCATCTTACGAAATTAAAACTATCCAGTAATGAAGGATGAAAATTATTCTTAGCAACACGTTTTCTTATTTCTTTATGAAAACACTGCAAGCTATTGGCAATATTATAAACTCGATAAAATAATATATTTATCAAATTGATCTTATGTTTAACAGATATAAAACTGTCAACATAACTATACAATATTGTATACGTTGGTTTATAATAGAACACAATACAACAATACGTTCCTATTTCTAAATAATCACCAAAGTTATTAATATCTAAATCTCAGAAAAGACTAATTTAATCTGTTTTTTAATTTTAAGTAAACTTAATACAAGGATATTGTTTACTTAGATACTTTAAGTAAACTTAATGCAAGGCTATTCTTTACTTAGATACTTTAAGTAAACTTAATACAAGGATATTGTTTACTTAGATACTTTAAGTAAACTTAATGCAAGGCTACTGTTTACTTAGATACTTTAAGTTAACTTAATACAAGAATATTGTTTACTTAGATACTTTAAGTAAACTTAATACAAGGCTACTGTTTACTTAGATACTTTAAGTAAACTTAATGCAAGGCTATTGTTTACTTAGATACTTTAAGTAAACTTAATACAAGGATATTGTTTACTTAGATACTTTAAGTAAACTTAATGCAAGGCTATTGTTTATTTAGATACTTTAAGTAAACTTAATACAAGGATATTGTTTACTTAGATACTTTAAGTAAACTTAATGCAAGGCTATTGTTTACTTAGATACTTTAAGTAAACTTAATACAAGGATATTGTTTATTTAGATACTTTAAGAATGAAATCACATTTACCTTAAAGCTCACTAAGGTATCATCAACATACCTGTGGTATCTGACAAGTGTAAAACTTTGCACATTGTTTGTTATTTAAAACAAATACACATTGGGCTATCTGCACTGTCTACCTCAGAATTTAGCGTTGTAAGTTCGTAAACTTACCACTTTCCCACTAGGGGAACTAAATTGTACATTTATTCAGCCCTTGTCTCTCATGATAACAAGGTTGCTAGGCTAGATGCGAACTTTGAGCCGATAGCAGCGCCATCTATTTATCATAAAGACTGTTATGAAAATTAATACGACATTCATTAGTGACATAATTTAAAAACTCGGTTTCATTTTAAGTTTTGCTCTAAATACATAATCTGCTCTGATCGGAAGTGATTATTTTTTCATTTGGATCATCAACAACTGTTCTAACATGTTTTCATCTTTCATCAATCAACAACATTTTAAAACGTTTTGAAAATGGAGTGTCCATCACTCGTAAACTGAGAGTTGATGGCATTTTCTGTCAGTCTTACATAATTATGTGTTGATGAAATAAAAAATATCTTGCAATCAAAATATACATAAATTTCAGCGTTTACATCTTTCAAATCAACTTCGATGTTCCTATGTTTTTTATCGACATGTTTGTTCTCGATGTGAACGAGATTATGCGGGATGAACCACGCATCATTTAGAGCAGCGTATATAATACTAATAACTCTCCATATATCTACAAACATTCAGATCAGGACTTCTGATGAAAATGTAGTTCCAACAACTAATAAGATGTCAGAATAAAAAAAGAGAGATTGACGATTAAAAACCAGAACCATTATTGAACTCAATTCCAATGGGAGACTGTTTTTTTTCTGAAATGATTTTATGTATACCCCTATAATCAGACCTGACTGTGTTCAGGCTCGACCAAAAGAGTGACAAAGTAAAAAACGACAAAACGTACGCTTTTTCTGATAGTCAAATATTTCTAGAGTTAATAGATACGTAAGTTTATCACGAGCTATCTAACATTTAGTTCTTTGTTGATCTCCAATTCCTGCTTAACAATGGCAAGTGTGCATCAATGGGATACCCAGAACATGTCTCCTAACTCATTGGTTTGCCATGGCTATGTCTCCTAACTCACTTGGTTGCCATGGCTATGTCTCCTAACTCACTTGGGTTGCCATGGCTATGTCTCCTAACTCACTGGGTTGCCATGGCTATGTCTCCTAACTCATTGGGTTGCTAATAATATGTCTCCTAACTCACTGGGTTGCCATGGCTATGTCTCCTAACTCATTGGGTTGCTAATAATATGTCTCCTAACTCACTTGGTTGGCAAGACTATGTCTCCTAACTCATTGGGTTGCCAAGACTATGTTTCCTGACTCATTGGTTTGCCCAGAATATGTCTTTTAACTAATCTGGTTGTCCAGGGTATGTCTCATAATTAATTTGGTTGCCCAGAATATGTCTCCAAACTAATTGGGATACCCAGAAGATGTCCCCTAACTAATTGGGACGCTCACAATATGTCTTCTAACTAAATGGGATGCCCAGAATATGTCTCCTAACTAAATTTGATGCCCAGAAGATGTCTCCTAACTAATTCGGATGCTCATAATATGTTTCCTAACAAATTTGGTTGCCCCGAATATATCTCCTAACTAATTGGGACACTCACAATATGTCTTCTAACTAAATGGGATGCCCAGAACATGCCTTCTAACTATTTTGGATTGCCAAGAATACGTTTCCAAACTATTTTCCTATTACAATAAGCAAGTATCATATATATATCCCGAATATTAATTGTGTTATGTATACTTATGTAATAACACAGAATAGAATAAGAATTCCTGGTTTCGAAAACAGGTTCAAAGATATAGCAATCTGGTTTAACTTTTGTGTTTCCTCATCACCACTGATATCAGGAACTTTAAGTTATGTTAATAACCTAAATACTACACTTCCTATGAAAAACAGAAAGTTTAATTACCACGTGATAAAAATCTCGACTAAATTACGTCATAGAATCTGAAACTATCAATAGATAAATAAATAAAAACTTCACATAACTTCCAAAATTGAAGTAGTATTGCTTTTCTAAAAATGGCTTCTTTTAGAGTGGACATTAACAATAAAGAACAAATAAAGTTTTAGAAGAGACCTTGGAGATCTTTCATTTAAATAACTTGTGTTTGTTGAAATGTATATTAAGAAACAAATACAACTACAAACTAGAGGGGCACTCATGTAGCCATCATGTTGGGCCATCAAAAAAAATACGAAAATGTATCTGATTGTCCGTCGTTATCAACGGACGTGGACCATTTTTATTAGAACAATGAGGAATAACATTCTACGTGTGTCCACCAAGTTTCATCACAATTCGATCATATTTGACTGAGTTTTAGAGCAAAAATAGTGGGAAAAATTGGTCCCCGTGTTAACAGATAGGGATTTTTTGGATCTTTGTGACCTTAATGCGCCTTGAACTTTGACTCTGACCCTCCAAAAACTAATCCCTTCTAAGTTACGTTATAGAACAAATGTATACTAACTTTCGTCCAAATCCATTCCGCCGTTTTCAGAAAATCTTACTGACAAACACACACACACACACAGGGGTGAAAATATAACCTCCGTCCACAGAATGGCGGAGGTAAAAACCCAGATGATTGAATCTATCTGGAAAAACTGGCTATTTCATGTGTTATGTTTTGTTTTGGAAAAACTGGCTATTTCATGTGTTATGTTTTGTTCTGTACAGACGGTGGAAGAAAGGTGTCGACACCAGCGAATTTGTAGAATAAAAACAGCTCCAGAATCTTTTGGTAAAGATCCGTGTCCGGGTGTTCGGAAATATGCCGAGGTGGTATATAAGTGTAGACCAAGTAAGTTCGGAAATATGCCGAGGTGGTATATAAGTGTAGACCAAGTATGATATTTCAGTTTTGTTTTCTTCTCAAACTAACTTTTTTTTTTAATCAAAATGTGATAAACACTTTGATACATTGAATTAAATGTTATTGTGTTAAAATTAGAAACGAAACCGTTATCTCATCAATAATCGTTTCTTTAACTATTTCTAATTAATATTATTTTATTAAAACAATCTCGATACTGCTCCAGATATATGTTATATATTTTTACACTTTACTCAGAATACAAAATAGCACAAGAAAGGAGTACCGTAATGTTCGTCCTCATTCATGTGACATTAGATTGTTCTAGTCTCCAACTTCAAAGTAGTGTTCGTCTTTATTCATGTGACATTAGATTGTTCTAGTCTCCAACTTCAAAGTAGTGTTCGTCCTCATTCATGTGGCATTAGATTGTTCTAGTCTCCAACTTCAAAGTAGTGTTCGTCCTCATTCAAGTGGCATTAGATTGTTCTAGTCTCCAGCATCAAAGTAGTGTTCGTCTTTATTCATGTGACATGAGACTGTTCTAGTCTCCAACTTCAAAGTAATGATCGTTCTCATTCATGTGACATTAGATTGTTCTAGTCTCCAGCATCAAAGTAGTGTTCTTCTTTGTTCACGTGACATTAGATTGTTCTAGTCTCCAGCATCAAAGTAGTGTTCGTCTTTATTCGTGTGACATTAGATTGTTCTAGTCTCCAACTTCAAAGTAGTGTTCGTCCTCATTCATGTGACATGAGACTGTTCTAGTCTCCAACTTCAAAGTAGTGTTCTTCTTTGTTCATGTGACATGAGACTGTTCTAGTCTCCAGCATCAAAGTAGTGTTCGTTTTTACTCATGTGACATGAGACTGTTCTAGTCTCCAACTTCAAAGTAGTGTTCTTCTTTGTTCATGTGACATTAGATTGTTCTAGTCTCCAACTTCTAAGTAGTGTTTGTCTTTATTCATGTGACATTAGATTGTTCTAGTCTCCAACTTCAAAGTAGTGTTTGTCTTTATTCATGTGACATTAGATTGTTATCGTTTCCAGCATTTTTTGTTTGAGGGATGGGCAGAAGAAAGAAATGTTTCTTTCTTAATTGTTTGTCCGACATTTTAAAAATAATAGAACAAGCAAACTTAGGGGTAATCTTAACATGTACACTTGTCACCGTAAAGTTACTGATAATAAAATGTGTATGTAGCGAAAAGTTTCGTGGTTAACATAATCTTTCTTACTTTACTAGAATAATGTTTTATAAGTATCATGACTACAGAATTCCATGTTATATAATCTGTTCTCATTACGAGAAGAATCCTGAGTATCCCATACCATATACGCAGTCATTAACAACTTATTTTACAAACATGTTCAATGAGAACTGATCTAGTATCATTGTGAGTAAGTTTAAGTGGAATGAAACAGTACTTTTATCGACCAAGTTTATTCATAATGTTAAATGAACTCTATAGTCGCCAACAAGGTTTACTTTTATTCAGGAAAGCATGAAGAAACAGCACGAACAACTAACTAAACGTTATCCTGATTAGTACTATTCCATGAACCACTAACTAAACGTTATCCTGATTAGTGCTGTTCCACGAACCACTAACTAAACGTTCTCTTGATGAATATTGTTCCACGAACCATTAACTAAACGTTATCCTGATTAGTGCTGTTCCACGAACCACTAACTAAACGTTCTCTTGATGAATATTGTTCCACGAACCACGAACAAAACGTTATCCTGATTAGTGCTGTTCCACGAACCACTAACTAAACGTTATCCTGATTAGTGTTGTTCCACGAACCACTAACTAAACGTTATCTTGATGAATATTGTTCCACGAACCACTAACTAAACGTTATCCTGATTAGTACTGTTCTACGAACCACTAACTAAACGTTATCCTGATTAGTGCTGTTCCACGAACCACCAACTAAACGTTATCTTGATAAATATTGTTATATGAACCACTAACTAAACGTTATCCTGATTAGTGCTGTTCCACGAACCACTAACTAAACGTTATCCTGATTAGTGCTGTTCCACGAACCACTAACTAAAC